GGCAAGATGTTGATGGTTCTATGTTGATATATGTGTGTCAGAGAGTCAGAGTCAAATGTTCCTGTAAAGTTTGGTTGAAGCACTGGTTCAGTGTTCCTGTTTACACACTACGCAGCAGGGTTGCCAGGTTCGGTGGTTCCCGCATATTTTTTTCCAAGAGACTTGTAGGTATTAAATAAACAGAAAGACAATAAACAGAATCATGATAGTCCAAGTTGATTACATTAAGTTTTTAGCCAAAAAATCATTCTGAGTGTTTTTTTTTGTGGGTATTCTCGCGGATTTTGGGTTGGAAAATCTTGCTGGGATTTGGCAACCTATGGGAGCCTTGTGCTTCGATGTGAGTGGTTGAAAGCAGACTTTATTCAAGATAACGGACAAGTGGTCTATCCAATCACATACAAGGATTTTTTTTTACAAGGCCCTGCCTTCTGAAATCCAACCACTATGGCTCAGTACTAGACTCATGTGTGAAGTGCAGCGAACTACATGGGTCTGGCGAGAGTCAGGCTATATTTGTCATCCACCTTACTATGTAATAAATGAATACTGTTATTTGTTATAAATGAATTATTTTGTTACTACTACTATGATGAAATGAAATGCTTTTGACCATTAAAATATCATTGGGTGTTAAATGTGAATCATTTCTAACCTATGTTGCACTAAATCTCATTTCCGAAACATTGAATTTCATTTCTGAAACACCATTCTCATTACCGTAACGTGTTCATTTGCAAATGATTTAATAATTATTTAGTTTTTTGTTTTTTTAGCAATTGTGTTGACACAATTTGTAGTACTACTTTTTATATCCCAATCACAAAAAATATATATTTATGTCAGTTTTCAAAGGAATATCCTAAAAAAACTAGATGTAAATCATTAAGTGTGTTGCGGTAATGAGACAAATTATAAATATTTTCAAATTTATAAATATAACGAAGTAATCTTTCTTGACTGATACATTCCTCTTGGCATAAGTGTTAATTAGCTACTTTTGAAATTTCCCAATTTTTTTTATTTTAACAATAAATCTGATGTGATTTCATGTTGCGGTAATGAGATTTTTTTGGCACTCAATATCTAAAATACCTGTAATTCAACTAAAAAAATCAAAAACGATGTTGAAAAATAATGTGTTTAGTAAGTTCAGACATTCATCTAAAGTGCTTAAAAGAAAATTTGTCTTCAAATGCCTTTTGAAAATTTTGAAGTTGGAATTGTTTTAAATCTGGATTTCGTGAGAATCACCCAGGCGCTTTACATACGTCACGGTAAACTCAGATCAAATTTTTTGATCTCCAAAAGCTGTTAACCCCATCCACCTGTTATTGGAGCTCAATGGAGCACCATTAGACCAGACCTTAGTACGAAATGTAATTTTGTACTATGGTGTGGTTAATACTGACTATGATTACAAGACTTTGACATTTGTCACATATTCGACAATCAAAAGAGATAAATTATAATCAAAATGTATTAATTGCTCGTACTATTCCAAGCAGTTTTTTTGTAACGGTAATTAAAGATTGACAATTTTCTACAGTACTTGGCTGTTTTCCCAAAATTGTCAATAGTACAAATACAAATAAGACAAGTCGTGATGAGTACCCCCCCCCCCCCCCCCCCCCCCCCCCCTTGCTCTTTACCAATGGCCCGGAGGCTGTCAGGACGAATAATTACAGGGATATTTTGTGAACGAGGCACATCCATGACTGCTTTTGGTGAGCTGTTACACCCATCCCTGGAATTCTTGGAGGGGTACATTATGGGTTTGGCTCTATTTAAGTTCCTACTGTAATTATGTGGCCTTTAATTGTGATCTGTTAACACCGTTAGATTAAGTCGGCACTCTGAACCCATTTGGATGTAGTCCAGGTTCAGGTGAAAATAGATGTTAGTCCAATAAATATGATTTCAGTCTATTTGGCAATATTGGTTTTGTTTACCATTGTGATGGTTGTGTACTACAGATCAATCATATGCGGTTCATTTTGGCAATGCCAATTATTTATAATCCAGAGAAATTTACAGACTATAATCTTTTCCTATCCAATAATAAGTGGAGAGTTAATATTATACATTTAATTATTTGTATTAATAATAATGCTAAGTACGACAAACTCGTACACAATACATCTTATCCTTATATTATCATTTCTATGAAAGAAGATGCTTGTGGATCTGTCATTCAAGCTTTTTAATCCAGCCATCAAATTCCAGATTTCTTTTTTCTTTCCCACTATACAAGTAAATCAACTGAACACAAACACTTTGGAATGCAGGCAGTCCCTTCTGATGTCTTTGTTGCAGCACTTAGACAAAGTCAACACCCTTTAGAAATCTTATCTGTGCCGGAGCAGAATGCAAATATTTACTAAATGACTTTTACATTTTGTAATGCATAAAATGAAATGGCCACATATTGTTAAATATTTCCATTGCTTTGAAAAGCAATTGTTTACTAAAATAGTTTACTTTTAAATACATCAGCCAATAGTTGTATAATATCATTGCTGTAGGTGTCAGGACAGTTAATGCTATATAGCGGTAAACTATAATCAGTTTTGTTTTTTATTGTCTGGAAGCTCTTGGGATCATGGAATTTGATTTGTCTTGTCTTTTCCAGGTCACTTAGCAGTGGAATGCCAGGAATTCTTTTGCCTTTACTCATTCTGTAGTGTCAGCTGATCCGACCAATGCTGTTTTTCTTTTACAGGACTTTCAAGGTTAAAAGCTAGCTCTGTTTAGACTCTACTCGATTATTTTTTATTTTATTTTCTGAGGTCATATTGTGGCATTTGTGGTGGCTTTTAATTGTTCTACTAACTAGTTATGAACAATCCACTGTATGGAATTATAGATACTGCCACTATGGTTAATGGTAGACCACAAAGGTGACTAAAAATGACAAGGATGAAGAAACTTGTATTAATTTGGATGCAGGGCGAGTTCTTAAATTTGTAATGGGTCGAAATAGAGTTACTGAGTACAAATGTACCCAGTCTCAGACCCACCTACATCTGAGCATCAGAAATAAAGGATGTAGTTCAGGAGGTCTGTGGTTCTCAAATTGAGGGTTGCCGGTTGGACCAGCAATTTGGGGTCTTGGGGTCTCCAAGATGATTTTCTGAATATCTTTTAAAATAGTCAACAGTTTATTGCCGAAAGAAATCTATAATTGAAGCAGAAAAGGATCCACAATGTATTGACTCAAGGGGACTGAATACAGTACTTGATGGTATTCAGTATTGGGCGCAACTGTATAGAAACCTCAATAGATAAATTTGAAGAGAAAGTACATTTTGTCCACATGTAAGACATTTAATATTGTAAGCTGCAGGTTTTCATGTTGCAATCAAACCAATTTAACTCAAAGGTGTATTTGCAGATTTTCCCAAATTTGAACAAAACTCTCTGGTCTTATTTGACGAGCATGTATCACCAGAATGATCGAACATTGTGAGGACCAATGATCTTGATTATCCTCCCGGGAGTAGAAAATCCTCCTAATAAACCTTTAACCAACAGCTGGTGGAGCAAAACAAAGCCAATAGATGGTTGTTTTAACTGGACACAAGAAAACTTAATGATAAGGTGTTTTAATGCGCTGTTGACTTGTGATGATCAGAGCACTCTTATTGTCAAAATAGATTTCATTTACCATTCCTATTAAAACTTGACGGTGTCAAAATAATATCTGCTACAACAATGGCCTAAAAAACAAATGTCTCTGCTTTTCACGAACACACTGGGAATCAGGAATTTGTACTCCATCATCAACTCTGGAGATCAACAGTGTCATCCCCAGGTGGAGCTCTAAGTAAAAAAAATAAAAATATACATTAAACACTGCAGCCTAAATAGCGATGTAGTCAAAGAACAACACCAATTACTGTTGCAAATTACACTTTTATTATTATTCATATTGTTGTAAGACAAATGTTGTAATGTATCATTTCAATTGTTACTTCACATGTGTTTGCCACTTTCTTTCACAAAAAGTGCCAACAAAATATCTTAATGTTAGTGTTTGTAATGTTTAATTGAATACTTTTTCAAGGCACTTCATTTACCAAACTCAGCAGTTGGTTCATGAATTGTGGAGGCATGCTCGTCCAATTCAAAAGGAAACCTGCCTCCCCTAGTCTCAACTGGACTGTACATTATCACAGTATAAAATCACACCTTTGCTGTTTATCTCCCAATGGTCCCTTAACAGGGGTTGCAGATGACAGCAAAGACTTTCTGAACAGAACAGGAACATTCTGTGCCCAAGAAATATATTGCTGTGTGCTTCTCTCCTGCAGAGCCCAAAACAACTAACTTGCATCGTAGGGGTGGAAAAGGGTACCTCACGATACGATACGCGATACAAAGCTCACGATAACGATTATATCACGATATGACGATTATCGATATATTGGTCAGCAATATAACATATGCCAATATATGGCATACATAAAATAGAAAAATGTTAATAGAAAAAATACACTTAACATTTTCATTTCATGATAAATGGAAGGGAGATGTGTAATGTTGCCATATATTGAGTATTTTTCAAAATCGATACTTGGCAAATGCATATCGTTAATCGATTGCGGGAGAAAGTATTGCAATATATCGAAAAATCGATATCGTCACACTCCTATTGCATTGGATGAAGCAGTCTTTTGAATCATCCCATGGCTCTTTTACAAATATATAAAAATAAAAAAAATCATGTTCATATTACCTTCTGTGCTCATGTGCCAAAGGCACATCTGCATCTGAATTTTTATTTGTTATTATAAAAATGGCATTCTATACACATCATGTTCCATAAAAATGTATTTGATTTGAAGTGGGTTTGTTTTCATGTATAATTCTCTAATAATTATTGTGTTCTATGATAACATTATAATACCGTAATTCATAACAACATTCAACATTTTCTTTCTCCCGATATAACATGCAATTTTGTCGTGTTCACAGAGTTCACTTTGTTTTGATTACAGAGTGTCCTGAGAAGTGTGGGAGACTAGCATGCACAGCGTCCGGCCAGTGCTGCCACCCTCAGTGTCTGGGCAGCTGCACAGTGCCTGGAAGTGACCGGGCATGTGCTGCATGTGTGCATTTTTACCATGAAGGGCGCTGTGTCCCAGACTGCCCTCGAGGTACCTACAAGTATGAGGGCTGGCGTTGCATCAGTGCTGAGTACTGCTCTAAGGTCCATCCTGCTGGAGACGACAGTTTTATTATCCATGCCGGAGAGTGCATGCCTGAATGCCCATCTGGGTACACTCGCACTACTCCCAACAGGTGAGGGGAATTTCTGCCCTATATGGAATTTTAATAAAGAAATTTGGTGGTAATGAATGTGAGATTATGTGACATTTTAACAGTCATTGCCCAACTAAATACAGAAGTGAAATGTGCACTAAATGAGAGCCTGATGAAATTAGCAGAAGGCTTCCCTAGATCAGAATCAACAAGACATCTTTTTGAGGGTGAAGATTATAGAAGCGTTGTTTAGGTGAATTTACCCTAATGTCTATTCTCTCTGCTCCAAATGTTTCTTTCTAGTATGTCCTGTGCTGCGTGCGATGGGCTGTGTGATAAGGTGTGCGATGGAAATGTCATCGACTCTTTGGATGCGGCTCAGTCTCTCAAAGGCTGCACTGTTATCAAAGGAAACCTGGATATCAATATCCGACGTGGACGTGAGTGCTGCCATATTAGACTCTTCCTGTTCAAGGATGTTGATTAAACATGCACATAATCAAAATTAAGCCATGCTATTATGGTAACAGATTACTATGTCTCTGTTTTGGTGTAGATAATATAGTGGCAGAGTTGGAAAGTTTCACAGGGTCAATCCAGAGAGTAACCGGTTATGTACGAATTCGATATTCCAACACTTTGAGTTCCCTGGCCTTCCTTCGCAGCCTGAAGATCATCGATGGAGAAATGCTTATTGAAGAGTAGGATGACACACAGTCCGCTTGTATTATCCTTTTACCACACATGTTCTCACTGCTGTAGTATAGCATGCTTGTTTTAAAATACAAAATTGTAATAACTACTAAAGCTGGCTAGAGAACACCAAAAGGTTTGCCTGATTGTAGCTTGATTTTTATGGGATCAGTGCAATGCTATCCAATTGCATTTAGAAAAGTGAGAACTCAGAAAGTAGAAGACCGCCCGAATTACAAGATATTATCGTGCAATGCATGTGTTTTCATCCATAGTATATACATTAAGCTGATCAATTCTGGGCCCAAATAGTGCATTATTGGGGTTTGGCCACATCTCATCCTGGCGTCAAGTAGAAGTGAGGCATATCCTATCCAGTTAATACTAAAGCTCTAGATTGCATGATGTTTGTATACTCATTATTCTCATACATGCACCTGCAGCACCGATACAGCCGTTTTGTGGATACACTTAATATTTCCCTCGACTCAAGAGTGTTTCATTCAACCTCATTGTCTCTATCTGAATTTTTTTAAATAATATTCCGGTCTTTTATAATGTACCTCCTACCAGCAATATTGTGTTTTTTTCAGTCCTTATTTGTGTTATATAACTTTACTTATGCTATCTGTGCCAGCTTTAAACTTTGGAAGTTTCTGCTCTGTGAAATTAGAAATGTATTAGTTTTTTAGGTCATAACAAGAATTCGCAAGACCTTACATTTAGAGCAATTAAACCTTCAAGGCTGCATTTTCATTAATTCAAGAGGTCACTGTGATTTAAAAATGTCTAAATACGTTGTTATATATAATTGTTTTCTTTATTTAGTATATATGCATTCTCCGCAATTGAAAACCAGCAACTCCAATACCTGTGGGACTGGAAGAAACACAACCTTACGATAAAAAACGGAATCCTGAACTTCAGAGGAAATCCCAAACTTTGCATGTCCGAAATCCGCAAGATGTGGAACAAAACGGGTATTCAGGACCGCTTTGATGAGAACGACTTCAGGAACAACGGCTACAGAGCGAGTTGTAAGTGTCTTAAGCACAGCCCTGGTACAGTACATGCACAATCTTTCCCCCTTCACTGAGTTTTGTCCTGTTTAGGTGAAAGCTATACATTGAGATTTAAGTCAAACAGCACCAGAAGTACCAAAATCAAACTTACTTGGCAACGTTACCGCCCTCCTAAGGACTACAGAGATCTCATTAGTTTTATTGTTTACTACAAGGAAGCGTAAGTTACCTCTCGCTGAGCTCAAATAAATTAACAAATGAGTAACTAACAAATGAATAAAGTAATTATTATTTACTACTTCACTACTTATTTACTGTGTTTATTTTTAGTCCCTATCAGAATATAACTGAGTATGAAGGACAGGACGGCTGTGGTTCAAACAGCTGGAATATGGTGGATGTGGAGCTGCGTCAAGATAAGGACTCCGATCCTGGAGTGCTGCTCTCCAACCTGAAGCCCTGGACGCAGTATGCCGTCTTCGTTAAAGCTATTACACTCATGGTGGAAGACAGACAGGGCCAAACTGCACCGAGCGCAAAAAGCAAAGTGGTCTACATTCGCACAAGCCCATCAGGTAAATAAAATAGACATGGATAATGCCAACATGGGTAATTCCAACTGGGAAGGACAGTGTTCTGAAATAATGATAGTTATTACTATTATAATTTGTAATAACAATTAATGTAAATGCATTCAGATATATGATTTTCCTTATTTGTACTGACACCTCTAAAACAAATATGATGTTCCCTTGCTTTTCTGACCATCAGTGCCCTCCATGCCCCAAGATGTTCGAGCCTACTCAAACTCTTCCACACAGTTGGTTGTGAGATGGTCACCACCTCTTTCACCAAATGGAAATCAAACCTACTACCTTGTCAGATGGCAGCAACAAGCAGAGGATCGTGAGCTTTATCAGCATAACTATTGTTCTAAAGGTATGCTTCCTTTTACTATAGTAAGCGGACAACTTTCTTTCTGTGGTGTATGTTGCTGCTGTTTGATAAACGCTTCAGGGGGTTCACACTAAAGACACTTGACTGAGCAGCATGTTTCTGCAGCCCAGTCCCTCAGTCACACCATTGTTCTCAGTATAACATGACACCTTCTAGATCCTGCAGTCACTGAAGTTATGGAAGGTGTACAACTGTCAAACGGTGTCCTATTTTTACAAAAAGATCATTTCAAAGGAGCTACCTTTTTATATTTTCAGAGCTAAAAATTCCAATCAGGATTGCTGCCAAAGGTTTAGGAGACCAAGAGGAAGAGACTAAGTTGGCCAAGCCAGATATTGAAGGGACTGAAAAAGGCCCATGTTGCCCATGTCCAAAGTCTGCAGAGGACCTAGAGGCAGAAGCTGCTGATGCCTCATACCGAAAGGTCTTTGAAAACTTCCTGCATAATTCAATTTTTACACCAAGGTAATGGTTTGTTTTTGAGTAAATTGTTTTATATAAAAATATGTATATGAAAAATATATAAAGTACTTCTCTTCATTAGACCACCAGACCGCCGGCGCAGAGATCTGTTTGGAATCGCTAACTCTACTTACTCACACCGAAGCCGAGTCAATGCCAACAGCAGCTCTACAACCCCTCTGCAGGGTGGTACTAATGGCACAACCGTAGACCCTGAACCTGAGCTGGAGTTTGAGTTCATGGAACAATCAGTGACTGAGCGTGAGCTCCAGATCTCGGGCCTGAGGCCCTTTACAGTTTACCGCATTGACATCCACGCTTGCAACCATCAAGTCCAGCGATGCAGTGCTGCTGAGTTTGTCTTCTCCAGGACAAAGCCTGCAGGTTTGAGAACCATTTAGTGCAAATGTTATTTGAATGTAATCCTATATTTTAGTTGTCTCAATGCATTGTATGATCAATACCAGAGTGCTGGCTGAAAAAAACCAATGCAAACAGTCTGTTCTGCATTTTTCTGACAGACTGGGATCTAGAAATATCATCAGAAACTTAGAGCTCACTGACATCTTGTGTATTAATGTTGCATAAACTAGACAATAAGTGAATATTTTTTATGCAAATCTGCATTTACTTTAACGGAAGCACAAATTATTAAACCTCATGGAGACCATGCATATCCTGTGAAACTATGCATAGTCCAATCTTTAATATAATGGTATTACATTTATCTTATATTTATTGTATTTTTTTCAACATTCTTCCTATACAGATACTCTAAACCTGAGCTATTCCAGATAATAAAAGCAGTTATTTTAAAATAAATATATTTTAAGAATCTGATCCAAATGGGTTGTATGACTATAACCATGTATCTTATCCATGTATCTTACAGAACAGCTTTGTAAAAATAAAAACGTTTTTTTATTAACATTTATTTTCTCAGAAAAGGCAGATGACATCCCAGGACAGGTTTCCTGGGAAGGCCATGAGGATTCAGTGTTTTTAAGATGGCCAAAACCAACTCATCCGAATGGACTTATTCTTATGTATGAAATCAAGTTCAAGCAGTCTTCTGAGGTATGACACTTTATTCCAGAGGTCGGGAAAGTAAAATATTTGTTTCAGAATGTATTGTTTTGTTAATAACATTTTTATACTGAAGAAATCCTGAGCATAAAAATTCTTACCTTAAATGTCTCCTGAGCCATAGGTTCCTGACCCCTGCAGTCTACATACATTGAGTCTGTATGTCGTACAGTAGTAAGAACCTATATTTGCTTTTGTCTTTTCAGACTGAGAAGCACGAATGTGTCTCTGGGCGGATGTTTCAAGCACAGCAGGGCTTTAAACTGTCCAATCTCAGCCCAGGAAACTACTCCGTTCGAGTTCGAGCCACGTCATTGGCAGGCAATGGTTCCTGGACACAGATGATAGATTTCTATGTTGCTGAGCGTAAGTTCAAGTCGTTGCTGTTATAATGCTTTTGATTTTATTTTGCTTACAGAAAATGTTTTAATCAACAGGGTACGAAAATGTTATCTACACTGTAATCTTTGTTCCCATTTCTGTGGTGCTCTTCATCGGTCTTGTTGCTGCTTTGTTGGTGTTGCAATACAAGAAAAGGTAAGATAATATAAACTACATTCGGGTGTCCCAAGAAATTACAAAATTACAAGAGAACAATCAAATATTTTAAGCACAAATTGTGTCTGCAAAATACCAGTATGTTTATCTCTATGCATCCAATCTTTTCACAATGTTCTAATTCTTTGAGACAAACTACTACTTATTCGTTTGTCATTTAGAATTCTGTAATGGAAGTTAAAACAACCAAAATTCCAACCTTGTTACAGACCTAATGTTCTAAAATCTTGATTATTCAGAAACAGTGACAGGCTGGGTAATGGAGTTCTATATGCATCAGTCAATCCGGAATACTTCAGTGCTGCAGAAAGTGAGTATCTGTAAGAAATGTATCTGGTGCAGCTCTTGTATTTGCAAAGGTACAACAAATGCATTTTGTTTTGTATCCCCAGTGTATGTACCTGATGAATGGGAGGTTCCCCGTGAAAAAATCACTTTAAACAGAGAGCTTGGGCAAGGCTCATTTGGCATGGTGTATGAAGGTTTAGCAAAAGGAGTGGTCAAGGATGAGCCAGAGACACGTGTCGCTATTAAAACAGTGAATGAATCAGCGAGTATGAGGGAGAGAATAGAGTTTCTCAATGAGGCCTCTGTTATGAAGGAGTTCAACTGTCATCATGTGGTGAGTTTTAGGCTACATGTTTTTCTTAAATGTTCTTCATATAATTTGTTTTGAGAGTTTTGTAAAAAAAAAAAAAAAAATCTTCTGATAGGTTCGACTACTTGGTGTTGTATCTCAAGGTCAGCCCACATTGGTTATCATGGAACTAATGACCAAAGGCGACCTTAAGAGCTACTTGCGTTCCCTTCGACCTAAAGAGGTATTGTTCTATGGTTTTATTTCCCCCCATAATGGAAACACATACTATATAGTTTAAAACGGGACATTGTTGTCATTCTTTACTTGTGTTTTCATCTCAGCAGCAGTGGTCAAGCCTGTCGCTTCCCCCGTTAAAGAAGATGCTTCAGATGGCGGGGCAAATTGCAGATGGCATGGCCTACTTGAATGCCAACAAATTTGTCCACAGAGACCTAGCTGCAAGGAATTGCATGGTGGCTGAGGACTTCGCTGTTAAGATTGGAGGTAGAGAAAATACGGACAGAGAATCTCTTCATGCCCGCTCAGTGGGAAGGTCTCCCCTGGAGATCTAGAACTCAATTAATGACCGGAATATGCACTCAAAGAGCGCATACACCACCAACACCACAAACTAACTCTACGCACCAGTCCGTAATGTAGTTTTTGCATGCACACACACGATAAAAAAAAAATTGTTTTTGAAATAATATGCTTAGATGGTTTAATCTTTGAAACAAAAGTTAATATAAATAGAGATTAAATATTGTTTTCAGTGAAAACTCATCCGACAATTTTTTTCTCGTGTTTGACTAGACTTCGGAATGACCAGGGATATTTATGAGACGGACTACTATCGCAAAGGCGGGAAGGGTTTGCTCCCCGTGCGCTGGATGTCTCCAGAGTCCCTGAAGGATGGAGTGTTTACCACATACTCCGATGTCTGGTAGGAGCTTGTGTCCGTTTGTTTAGGCGTCTTGACTCTTCCAAAGTAAGTCATTCATTATGCTTGTGCTCTAGGTCGTTTGGAGTGGTCTTGTGGGAGATTGCTACTTTAGCCGAACAACCATACCAAGGTCTGTCTAATGAGCAGGTTCTTCGCTTTGTCATGGAAGGAGGGCTGCTGGAGAAACCACAGAACTGCCCGGACATGTTGTAAGAAAAAAAAACACTGCAATATTATAGAAACTGAATACAAATATGTTTTCTTTGAAATTACATTCAATTGTGTGGTCGCCTTTTCTGTAAATGTGAAACGTTTTGATTTCTTAGTGCTTGCTGAAAAATCTGTTTTTCTAGGTTTGAGCTGATGAGGATGTGTTGGCAGTACAACCCAAAGATGCGCCCGTCATTTGTGGAAATTATCAACAGTGTTAAGGACGAGCTGGAGCCATCGTTTAAGGAGAACAGCTTCTTTTATAGTGCTGACAACAAGCCTGCAGACACGTCACAAGATCCCCTGGAAAACTTGGACGCTATGGACCACATAAACGAGGTACCTTTGGAGCCTACATCTTCAAAAAAGTCCCTGCAGACTCCGGCCTGTCCACAGACTCCTCCATCGCCCAGCTCACAGGCCCCAGCAGGACTGTCATTAGCCAGTACCTCCCCCTCATCTCCCACTACGTCCTCTGCCATTGACAAGCAGAGCCCCAGTCAGCAGGCGGCCAATGGATTGTCGGGGGCAACCACAGGACTGGGCACGGGCGCTCAGCCGATTAGGCCGTCCTTAGATGAACTTCCGCCTTATGCTCACATGAATGGAGGACGCAAAAATGAACGTGCCATGCCCCTCCCCCAGTCGTCTGCCTGCTGATTGGACCCCCACAGCACCCACAACAAACTTTGCCATGGTCTGTTTTGCAAGACTTAGTCTCACAGAACTAGAACAATGTGTGTGTACAGACACTTGGTGAGACTCCCTGGCTACCAAGTGGTAGCCCTCAAAATAGGCCACGCTCGACTGAACATTCACATGTTCAATGTGAATTGAAGACAATTTTTTTGTGTGTAAAAATATATGAAATGATTTTAAAAAGCAAGAAAATAATTTTGGGAAAGATGACTAAACCGATTTTATAAGTTGAAGGTTGGAACTTTTATATCTATTTTCATTGAGGAAAATGTCTAAGCCTTTTTGTCAGTGGTGATTGCCTTTGGACGGACATTATGTTGACTTTTTAGCATATCTCATGAAGAAGCACTTAAAGGTCAGCGTTTTTGTCAGTTTGTAGTCTGTTGTAGCTGAAAGCCAGCTCAGCAACTCATTGGCTGGAATTTATAAATAGCAAATGGAAATGTTAAACCTGCCAAATCTTCTGTCAGATGTGTATATTTTTATTTTTTTTCTATATTCTTGCTCTGATTTCTCAGCACCCCAGACTGAAAGTACCTAGACTAGAGCTGCTATGGTAAATTATCTTTTCAAGTATTTATTTCTCTTTTCAGTCCCAAAACCACTGCTTTTTCAATTTGTAAAAAATACCTTTTCAATGATTGATATCATTCTTCTCACAAAGTGCTGAAGCTGAGGGGTTAACATTGGGAGCCTACAGAAACACAAAATGTGCTTGGACTGCAGAGTGAAGGACAAGAATTCTAAACTTCCGTAACTTGCAACATTTACCAAGTAAACAAAAAGGTCTGCACGCAGGGCTGCACATTTAAATCAATACAAGAGGTTTTCACTTTTCTAGAGGACATCATGTACAATACGCTGCTAGTCCTCATTTTCTCTTGTGGTTGTTACATAGTTGATATCAGAATATGTAAAGAACATGTTTTTGGTTTTGTCAGTTGGTTCTGTTTATGTTTGTACGGTATAGCGGTTTGTCTTTTGTTTCAAACTTGTATTATTTGACCTTGTGACTGGATGAGGCTGATGACGACCTATCATCTGTGTCTTCTCACAGAAAGCCTTTCCCTCTGTCCTCTGCAGCTCTCCACCAATCAGGTCTGGGGCTCACTCTAATCAGCAGTGGTCAGTGGTCAAGTCTTTCTGCTAAGTTCCAACTAAATCTCAGGTCAAGATGAGACAAATCCTTTTGTAGTTACTTTTGTGCCGACTCTCATTTCTCACAAAGGGAAAAACTGGTTTTGTTTTTTGTTTCCCCTTTGGTGACCACCAGGGGGAACTATAGGCTTACACAGTGCAAAATGACATTTGGTTTGCTGCTGTCATTGTTTGATTTGTTTTATATATGTTACTATTTTGTTTTTTAAAAAACTTTAAAAATACTTTAAAAAAGGAAAAATAAGAAATTAAACAAAACAATATTTAATACAGGGATTTAAATAAGCTAAATTATTGAAGAAGATTATCAAGTTTTGGTCAGAACACTAAAATACATCATGTCCCCTAACAATTTATTCCTACTTTGTGAACACTACAACTACAAATGGACCCTTTGGATTATTAGGGCACATGCATCTCAGTAGTTGGAATTCATGTTAAGGTGTTTTTCCCCATTTTGGAACGGGTGAACCTACAGACCCTCATGTCTGTGGCTACTCTTCGATTGCAAGCCGTAATATTGGGTAAAAATGTTCTCTTCTTACCACAACAATAATAATAATAATTAAAAAATATATGTATATATAAAAAATATTTTTTAATTATTATATCAAATTAGAATTACATTGCAGAGATAAGAAACCATAACAGGAAAGACAAAAATAGCAGAGAACCCTTAGATTAAGGTCTGGATTAATTTTTTGATCAGTTAATCCAGTGTGCTTTGATAAATACAGGTTGGAAGTGGACCAGCTCTGTGGCACACCCTTCATTCATATCCCTTTTTATAAGATGTAAAACTTATATCTTGTGACCTATATAATTGATAGGTTGGGAGCCACTTGAGCCACCGTTCAGTCACTGGAATGAACTGCTCCGATAAAAAGCTTTTTACAATGACCTACGTTATTGTAGAAGACATTTTGATCTGTTAATAATTTTGTTAGAAAGAACATTTGAATTTCAACTATCCATCTACCTCACATCTAATTAAAATGGTATACAAAGTCATCTTATTTACGTTTTCTGGTTGCAATTACACTACAACCTAGATTACCAAATGCTGGTAATCTATTGGTCAAATTCAAATCCCAAACTTTAGGCTAAAGAAGATAGTTGAGGCTTTTTATGTACAACTTACTTTCTATGTAAAACACAATATTGTGTTTTGTTGTTTGTATTTTTACTCAATGTAAAAAAAAAAAAATCCTTTCACAGACACTCTTTATTCTCATACACTTCTGTGGCCTTTAAAATTGTTTGTTTCTGATCTGTAATGAGCAAAGCCATGTAAAGGTTCAGGTAGAAAAGAGTCTTTCATGAGAAGACAACATCTGGTTCCAGTTGAGCTCTTTGATTTCCAGGGACGTGAGGCCTGTAAGCTCACTAATTATGTTGTTCAAACACTGCAAAAACATTTCTGGTTATCCAGGAACTGGTTTATGATGTGTTGTATGTTACACATATTTATTGCTTCTTGGTTTTGTTAGTTAGCAGTTCAGTGCTAGTGCCTATACCTGTGGCCATAGCTTTCCAAAGAAAGGCATTCCTAACTGCTATTTTATGAGTCTCCTTCCTCTTTGTGAAGGCTAGTTATAGCTTCCTGTAAAGGACCGTTAGTGATTTAGCTGTGGCCTCCTGCAGATGCACTGATAGGCTGTGCTCTGGATGGAGTAAAGAGTGTTTGTGGGTTTGATTTTCTTTTGCCTCGCATCATACCACTGGAATGCCATACTGAGGGACAACTATTAGAACAAACTTTTGTTTCTATTCGTTACATTGCCGATTTGTTACCAAGTTTTGATGTCTGTAAATTATTCATAGCCTTCCAACTCTTAGCATAAAAAAAAAAAAAAATCTATTGGACTGATATTTTTTCTTCTTTTGTAAATGCAGTTTCCCTTATGAACATTGTAAATGCTAAGGGAAACATTGTTCAGAGAAAAGAGAATGTTTCCCTGTTCCTTTTTCTACACAGAAATACAATGAATAAAAAAATTAATATGCAACCTGTTTTAATTGAATTATTTTCCTCCACAGAAACTAACCAGACAACAAAATTGCACACAATCTTGAGCCTTTGGGACAAAAGTGGGCCCAAACTGAAAGTTTCATGCATATTTTTATTGCGTATGAATTTGCTATTAATCAAGATCTGTTGGTGTCAACCATCAAACCACGGACCATACCAAATAAGCACACCTTTATTTACCCGCTGGTGACTTATCTGATTTTATACTGGATATTTCCCAGTTCTTTATGATTGAGGGAAGGTGAGAGGCTATCGCACAATGTAATTGTTAGTGAGAATACCTGAAATTGAAATTGATCCAATATTTGAAGACCGCGGATAAGTTTTTGTGTGATGCAAAACTTGTTGGATTCAGTCCATTTTCTTCCACATTACAAATTGTGTGTAATGGTGGCCTAATGATTAAGTCATAGAGCTTGCGTTTTAATGACCTGGGATTGAGTCCGGGCAGTGACTACTTGTGTTTAATTACATAATATTACATTTTATGACAAAAAGAATTTAAAGTAAAAAGAATAATTTGAGACCACATGTACCCCAATTAAAATAATGTTGTCTCTATTTGATGTAGGACTCATACATGTTTGTCTAAAAAATAGGGAATAAATAAAATTGAAGGGTGATATCCTCTGGAGGAAACCCTGATGTTGATACGCTGAAGAAATTTGATCCAACATCAATTATTCCCACTCCTATTTCGGACATCAATTGCTTTTTTCATTTTGCATAATTTTTCATCAAAAAATGTCCACAAAAAAAAAAAAAAACATTCAAAACATTCATTCACCATTTGCACAGCTATCATGGCAATGTGAGAGACAGACAGACAAACAACTGATAAAATAATTCCTTGTGTTTGCTGCTGGATTTGGTGTGTATCTGGCAACCTGAGTCAGGGAAAGTGGGAGAGGAGTCGAGACTACAAAATATTGACTGTGACTGCAGTACCACTTTTGGCCAGAATTTTACAAACTGCTCCTTTAACTGATCATTAACTCACATATTTATCAAGGCGCTCTCCAATCTTAACACATTTCACATGAATGCATACATACTTTTAGACCTTGTTTATCCTTATTTTCTCAGTAGACCGTGGCCAAAATTTGTAACGTTATGCGTTTACTGAGCGGCCTACTTCCTGTATGGAGCAGAAGTTGTCAAAATAAAATAAATACAAATTGGCATATATATATAATATATATATATATATATATATATATATATATATATATATATATATATATATATATATATATATATATATATATATATATATATATATATATATATATATATATATATATATATATATATATAATCTAAATGTTTATTTTAATATAATATATGTTTATTATGCATATATATTATTTTTTTCTAATAATCTAACAAAAGCACTTATCGACCTTTACAAATAGTACTAATATTGACTACATGAAGAACCGACCGCGAGCACACGGTGGCAGTAGCTGAGCGTCTGTGGCACGGATCTATGTCGGTGGCCTTTCACCAGGACGTAATGGTGACGTCATGTGTTTACTAGCTGCCGCTGCTGCTGATCATAATGGATGCATTATCGTTATAACTGTACAAGAAATGCTTAGAAACAGTCTACATGCGCTTCAACAGCAGGTGTTGCTTTTTCTCGACTCTATGAACCATGTTTCCTCTCAGAACCCACATGATATAGTTGAAAATGGAGAAAATTGAGGCACGAAAGTGTATATTCCGTTGATGTGTAGTCGCGTTCGTTGAAGTAGCTTTTTATTTGCTATGATAGTATCTCATACACCTTGTTTAAGTTCAAAGTGCTCGTTCGTGTCTATGTAATTTCACGTTACAACCGTGATAAACGGAGTGTTTTACAAAATGTCAACTGATCTTCATGAAACTATTTTTATGGCAAAGCGAGAAAGACACAAAAGCCTTTTTCTTAACTACAAGAACTTGATCAATTTCCCAGTTGAATTGCTCAAAGAAGAAGGCCTTCAGTTTCTTGAGAGACTATATATGAAGAGGAATTCACTCACTACATTGGTGAATAAGCATGTGTATTTCACCTCAAAGTGTTTGACATCTTACTACTATGTGTTTTGTATTTTAGCCCGACAATCTGGCGCAGAAACTTCCAAATCTCATTGAATTGTAAGTTGAATCGAAACAAAGCCACATTCTCATCTCAATGCATTGAATATTCTGCTGTGTATACGTTATACAGTGTATCATGATTTTCACATGCTTTGTGTTTGTTAGATATTTACACTCAAACAGCATAGTCATCGTCCCGGAAGGTAAGTGGGTTGATTTTGGGAAATACACACAGTCATTACAAGGCAATACAATGCCGGTTACCAGGTTTTTCTCACCTTTGTATTTGTTATGAAAACATATAAATATTGTTTGTTTCTAAGCAATTGGAAACTTGGCAAAACTCCAGTCATTGGATCTGAGTAACAATGCTCTTCAAATGCTTTGTCCCGAAATTGGTCGTTTAAGATCTTTAAGGCATCTGCGATTATCCAATAACCAGCTGAACTGCCTTCCTCCAGGTATCTCCTTCTGGATTGTTATACATTACATATTCTGTACTGTTTGATCAATGCACTGTACATATCCGCACAGCTCAACATAGAGAAAACTATGTGCATGTGATATCCTGCAACATTTTCCTCTGTTTTAAATCTTTCAGAGATTGGAGACCTACATGAACTAGAGAGTCTGGATGTATCCATGAACAATCTTAAATCTCTGCCTGACAGACTGCATCATTGCCTATCACTTCAGAATCTCACAGCCGACCACAATCACCTCAGATATGTTCCCAGGCAGCTGTGCTGGCTCCATCGCCTCAATCAGCTTTCAATAGCTGCCAACAGACTAAACTTTCTTCCAATTGGTTTGTAATGTTTACGCTTCCTATATGACTGTATAATACAGACTGTTTGTAACTAGAATTTACATGACACATGTCCCCTGTTCCCTTGGGTTTGTTGGATTAGCAGGGGGTGGTTGGCCCTGGATGTGCACATACTCAAAACATGCATAGATATATAAAAGAAATACATGAATAGAACTAATACATGTTCTGTAAATCTATTACTATTACAATGACCACAATACTGTTATCTGTTGATTATCTACAAGTCCCTGACCTGTGGAAGTTTTGTTTCATAAAAATTAGGAAATCTATCGACCATACAATGCACCCAGAAAAACAGCGGCATCCCGTAAGGAAAGTGGGACGTGGATACATAAACTTCCTTTTCAAAATGTGACCACAATGTTGTCCTTGAATATTGATAAGTTTGAAATCAATTATCAAAAAAATCAACACATCTAGGCACCCTAAAGTTGCAGAATCATAAAAAAACAGTTTCCTTTGTTTTTCCATTACTTCTTATTGCCACACACTTCGACTGACAGATCTCAGCCTGAGCAGAACAAATGGAATAAAAAGTCCCCTCCAACAATACAAAACAAAGGGGTTGTGTAAGGGCACTCTAAAATTGTAATGGCGAGCAACAATCCCATGCACATGTTCAACATTGTATGAAGATTGTTAAAAGCTTTGGGTGACCCTGGTCTGTGAAATGTGCTACCTAAATTAAAAAAAACCAAGACAAACAATATATCTGATACACGCTGAACAGCGCCACCATAAAGTGGTTTGAGAAACTGTCCAAATTTCAGTAGGCAAAGAAGATTTGTGTCGGCACCAAAACAAGTGTTAGGCCCAAAACACCAACATTCTTTATAGGGTTTTGCTGAAAATTACTTCTAACTTTAAGTTATTGGATTTCCAATTATTTTTGTTGTACCAGAGTCAACATTCCATTCATAGAAAAATAATAATAGTGTCTCTCAGAGGACCACATGAACCATGTTGGACAAAAATATCCAATTGTTTTATTTTTTTTATTTTTATTCCTGTTCATGCTGGCAAATAACGTCTGTCTCATGCATCTGGCCATATTTTCTGCCTGGCTGTTTAAACTTTCAAGCACAATTGTACATCAGTCTATAGAACTCAAACTCTAGCCAACTGTGTATAATGACAAATGTAACAAAACCAGCCATGGGCTACTGTAGCGCCCCTATGCAAAAAATGTATTGTGTCAGATTCACACTAAAAAGTAAAAAAGTAAATTGTCTATGTCCTATTTCATTTGGATTGTGAGAACAATAACATTTCATGTTAAAAACCTTTGGATATTTAATATAGATTCACATATAGATTGAGATATGTCATGCAATTTTTTTACTTAGGTCATTGCAATTAAAAAAGTCAATTACACCATAGCTGTATTGTGTACAAGGCTGTGTCATCCATGGGATGGCTCTGTAATGTATTACAATAAGAGCAATGTCATGTATAACTGAAATAACAATGCCGAGATCAAAAGGAGTGGACACAGGGCTGGACTGGGACAAAAAAACGGCCCGGGCATTTTTTCCTTTTTAGCGGCCCAGGCAACTCAAAAGTTTCATGGAGCCATATTTGACAAAAAATAAATAAAACAGCGTTGTATAAGGCATATATGAAGGTAACAGGGGCTGAAGCTGTATTAGCTACATTAGCTACCTTAGCTACATTAGCTACATTAGCTATATTAGCTATATTAGACTATTATCTAAATGACAAAGTAAAGGCTACAAACACATAAAAACCATTCATGATTATCAAATGTGTATTTTCATTACAGCGTGTCCTGGAGAGAATGACGCACCACGTGACAACTCTGCTTTAAGTTTAACTTCCATTTTTTTTTGCCTTCATGCAATTGTACAAATACAGTAAATACATCTGCTTTTTGGCTCAGTTCACCTGCATCACTGTCTGTTCATATCCATCACGTCACAGGCTGAAGTATGCTAGAGCTGAATGTCCTTAATGGCCTTTTCTTTCACAGTCTTTGCGAAGGTATTCGAAGTCTGAAAATAGGTGCTCTGACTTTATGATGAATGAATCTTTCAGTGAACGGTGTTTAAAGCTTCATTGTTCCTCGTGTTGCAACAAAACTTTTCATTACATCGCAAACATGAAGCAGTCCTTCCTCATTTACTGAAAGCAAATGTTCATTCTCATTCTTAGTCCAGTCTTATCGACTCTTACTTTATCTTTGGGATCCATACGCACACACAGTCTATGATGCGCACACGCCGGTTTGTTTACAGCAGCGGCCGCCTGGCACGGGCCGTGTCACAGTATATGACGCACTACGTTGACAGAAATGCTAAAATTGAATATTACTTAAACAAGTTTTTGCAGCATTGAAAAACGTCAAGAATGTTTTTCCTCCTACAGAAACCACATTGAAACTAGAAATAAAATAGAGCCCTCACACTCCATTTTCAGACATTTTTGAAAAGGCTCCAGGAGCCACTTTAGGGGCACTAAAGGTTGCCGACCCCTGGTTTATACAGTATGTGGAAGCAAATACTGTAGAGGATCAGGATGTCTGCAGTTTCAACAATAAAATAAAGTACAATAGTCTACATTAAAGAGAGTAATAAACATGTCTCAGAGTGAGGGAGGTGGGCACAGACAACACTATTGTTTGTTACAGGGATGAGAATTGGTACAAATTTCTGAAATGCATATTGTCAGCTATTTGCTGGCTCTAAATCTGTTTAATCTGTTCACAACATTTTACTTTTGGGCTCAAACATGAACTTTTATTGCAATGGAAAATTTAGGTACCGGAGCTTTAATTTAGAGGAGAGGGGAGACGCGGACTGTTTTCTGCGGTGTATTTATTGGGTGCACAAATTACGTAAAGACATGCATGGTCCTGTGCGCGTTTATGGTCTTGGCTACGCGCTCACCGTGTTGTGTTGTGAGCGGTTCCCGGTGAGCGGTTCCTGCGTCCAGCTCAGAGCCGCTGGATGCGGGAACACTGCGGCCGCTGAGGTGGTGGAATCCCGTTCGAGTACATACAGCAGGTGCCCCGCGGACACGCGCGCCCCCTCAAACATTTCTCAGCGGATTTACACTTTTCACAAACATGTTTTTTGTATGAGACAGACAGACCGGCCCAAATATGGGCATCGGCCCTTCGGGCATTGCCCGGTACGCCCGATGGCCAGTCCAGCCCTGACAGAAGCACTAATACATGACCAATGCCTGTTTTTAAAATGTTGACTTTTCCAGTGTGAATCTTTGTCAGTAAGAGGTTCTTAATTTTTTCAGTAGTGCATCTAAACAGTCCGGTAGAAAAAGAAAAATGCTTTAAAAAACTTTACAAACAAACCTATTTTTGTTTCAGATTTGGGCAGGTCCCGGGAATTACAGTTTGTGTTTGTTGACCACAATTCTGATTTGAAAGGCCTTCCCTCCCACCTTTACACCAAGGCCATTGGCTGCAGCGGGTAATGTTGTATTTTACTTTTTTGTTCTTTTTCTAAATGTCCCGTGGATGGATACAGTATACATTGTCTCTGTGGATGTCCATTTCAGGTGTGGAGTTTCTTCTCAAGTAAAAGAAGAAGAAATCGAGCCACTGGAAGCATTACCTGCTGAAGTTAAAGTTGTAGGTTCAGGGACAGGGGCCACTGTGGCTCCCTTAGAAGAACTCGCCTTAAGGACCTTACACTGTGTCTACCTCCACAGGTTATCAGGTGAGTAATGCCTGTGTTCAAAGTTTACATTTTCATTAGACCTCATGTTATCTCTCATGACTCTTTGTAGATCTGCACCTTATGCCTAACATCACATTGCCCAAGAGTCTGCTGGAGCTGCTGCAGTTTCCTCTGGGCCACTGTCATTGCTGTAGCCAAGCCATGTTCACCATCATCTATCCCAAACTGTTCCCAATCCAAGACACGGCACTAGCAGGAGTGCATCGCAGGTTTGAAAATACTTAAGGAATACCCGATTGTAGCGTAGGTGAACCATTACTAGCCACTTTCGCTTCCATATGCCACCTCCAACTTCAATGGTGTGAGGTGGCAGTCCACAAGTCAAAACCAGAAGTCTTTTAAGGCCAAAGACACTGTGAGTGTGCAGACTGTGTATTGGAAGAGTGCCTTTTCCTCTCCTCACACAAGTTTGAGTGTGTATGAGGGGAATTAGCTCTCATGTGGGTGATCAAAGCGATAGTGATTATAACCATCCGCTGGAAGCAATCTGATCAAGTCATCACTGAATGTTTAAAAAAAATAAAAGTCTTTGGAGCGATCCCACGGCTTTATCCAGTTGCAAGCCTCCGCAACAGAAAACAACGGAGAAGTCTGAGGAGATCTTCATTCATTAACAAGGGATAAGGGCTGTATTTGCTGTGGCACAGTGAAGTGGAAGTTATAGAACTAATTTTATGTCTGTTTTTGGCCTTTGTGAATGTATTTCTCTGTTAAATTATAGTGCATTCCTCCATTCTATTCAGTATGCCTGTTGTGCAAATTGCCTATTTGCTAATATGAGGCCTATTTTTGAGCAGAAGTTAAAAAATGTTATTGTGAAGAGATATTTAAATAATACTTAAACCAAAAAACTACCGTACCATATCAATACCATTAAACCACACATATAAAATCAACATTCTCAGCATGTGTTGTGAAGCCCAGAATTTATCCCAACATAGTCACTTTTTATTCTTTTTTTTGCAGGACGAGGGTGAGCTTTGTTGCCTATTGCTGTTCTAGTCGCTGCCTTCGAACCTTTGATCTTCTGGGATGACATCATAGTTGATAGAAAGATTTATGCTTTTTTCCGTTTTTATACTAGTTGATAAACTCTAAAAATGGATCATAACAAATTATGATATTTGTGATGTGGGCTGTTTGCAAGACCAGGCCTTGGATAAACATTCCCATAATAAACAATATGGATCAGCGTGAATATATTGAATGTTCCAATCTCCAAATAATAATTGTCCAATTTGTACCATTTTATAAATTAAAAGAATGGCTACCACAAGATAGGGCACTCTTTGGACCTCTGCGCCAACAAAGTTCACCTTGAGTGAGTGGCTAGAGATCAGAGTAATGACAAGGGTGATTGTTGTATATACCTATGGCTGTCTTATAACGCTGCTCCATTATCAGAATCAATGTTCAATCCATTACTAGGCTCTTGTCTCACCAGAGATTCAGTGAATGTTTGCCTAATGGAGCAATCACACTGGATCCATGTTCTACTCTCATGGAAACAAAGTTTGCACATGTGAAGGCTGCCCAGACAATAAAAACGTTTTTTTGGTTTCACTTCAGTTGTTTGTTAATTTTGTGTGATCTTTCAGTAAAAAAAAATCCAAAATAAAATTGTATATTTGTGGTTTATAACATGACAAAATGTGCGAGAATTGTGTTGAATAAATCGCTTTCAGCTTTTATTTATTTTATTTATTTTAAATGTATTTTTATAGTCTGTTACAGCTGAATTTTTATGTAGAAAAATGTAATCCGAATCGGTTATCATGAACAGATAATTATCACCATACAGCAAACGCCAAGTGTGAACACTTCATAGGCCATTCAACATATAAAAGAAAAAATACATGTATTGTAAGAGTTAAACTGGAAAAGCAGGTGCTGAGGACTATTCCCTTTAATCATCTGTGACGTCAGAAGGCGCGGCCATTTTGTGATTTCAAAGCGCTCGCGATGAATGGGAAGTTCTGTCAATGTAAAAGCGATAAACCCCGGGATTTAATAAAATCCAATGTTGTTTTAAACCATTCTTTGTACGAGTATTCTGAACCCCTATATATGTATGTGTTAAGAATAAGAGGGTAACACTGTGTTGCTCCCCTGTCAAGTCTTGACTGTCTTGTTATAGTTGAGCAGGAAATGCGGAGCGTAGGGGTCACCGCTGCCTTTACGCACGACGTGGGACCAGGACAGGGCGGAGTGTTTCATCGCGGTCAGAGCTGCTGGGGGAGCAGGGGCACACGGAATCTTCACTCAAGCTTTTAGCACGAGAACATCCCCGAAAACAAGACACAAGTTGACAACAAACGGCTATTTCTGGTGAGTCTTATTATAATCATATATGTCCCCCACTTCGTAAATAATAAGCTAAACTTAGTATACAAACCCTTGGTTTTAGCTTGATTCGTAATTAACATTGCACTGACAACTTAATAAGTTTGTTTACTAAAATGGTGCTTGCCTTGTCCTATACGTGATTGTTTTTCTTTGTTGGTTATTTTTTTTCTTCAATTGAATGGACATATGCATTCTCAACAACAAAAACGCGCTTCTGCATTAGAATAAGCCATTACATTTCATTACTCTTTCATTCTACCACTATTTGTCTTTGCCTTGTGGTTGTTGTTTTCAAGTGTCTGTTTACATGTGTTATCTTTACAAAGAGCGAATCCAGATCAGCACCACGGACAGCGCTGTGCGAGTGCTTCTCTCTGTCAGGACAAACCACGTCCACTCTTCGAGAGGGAAAGGGCATTGCCTCGAGCTTACTCCAAACATTTTCCTTGTTGAATGGAATAGTTGAATTTTATTGCCATATTTACGGTGGACCTTGCTGTACGTCTTTCACGTGCAGGCCCAGCTCAGGGATTTTTTCGTGTTTTGTTCTAGTCAGTGAGTGGTTTATACAATTATTTGTATGGGGTTTGAATGACATCCAATTAGTGGCAGTGTTTGTCAAAGGTACATGTGCCTACAGTATTGTCCCACTGCATACAGGTAGTACATAATAGCTCCTCTCATACAAACATCATTTCCATAGTTGTTTCTAGTCCTAATACACACTTTGATATCTTTATCAATGATTATATTTTATTTTATTTTTTTTTTTATTTTTTTTGCAGTTCTACTTGAACCTTTCTAAATGTCAGTCAGGACAAAGAGCTCAGGACACTGTTAAGCAGATCAACACATGTCTATGTGTGCCCTTACTCTGTGTGGCGCCATGCTGGTGTTTGTAAATAAAGATGAACACTATTAGTGTTGTAAATTGTCTTATCACACAAGAGTATATACTTTAGAGTATTCTTCTTGCAGCCTTCTTGCAGATTATGAAATCAATGTTAAACTGCTTCCCATTTATCTATTCGCATCTGACCATTATCTTGAACTGCCAAATAGTTCACTTGCATTATCTCTAAACTATAGACAGCATAAAAAAGAACATAAAAAAAGTATTTGAGTTACCATATTCACTTAAAAAGACGCACGTGCCTTGTGCTCACACTTGCAGTCATCTTGCAAGAATGTGTTGTGACTTCTCATCGCCTTTGGACTTGGAATAACTCTGCATCTTCCTCCAGCCCTGAAACCAAAGCGACATCTCTGCTCCCCTGACTAAGCTTTCCTCTCAACATAGACACACACACACACACACACAAAGGCATGCGCACATACACAAATGCACAAACACAACTTACTTGAGTCGGCACATCATATCGGAAAACTCTTAGGAAAGGGAGAACTGTGCACATCAATCAGAGTGCAGGGATGGAGAGACTGTAATCTGAGACTGATATGATTGCTCTGTTAGGTAGATTCAGCCACAGAAGATATCCTTTAGGAAAGAGGTCGCGTGAAGGTTTGAAGACAAGATTCTTCTCAAAGTATCTTATGTTATTCATAACCTTTGCATCTTGGTTTCATTACAAAACAAGTCACAATCTCACAAGTGTTTTTTGAGGCCTTGCTTCATTTTAACAGTCCACTCTTACTTTTGATTGCCACCTATACTGTAGTTGTGTCTGTATTGTTAATGGATTGATAACAAAAACAATTATCAGAAAGTTGTCTGTATGACTCAACATTTAGCATTTGAAATGCTGGGGAATAATGATTCATTGTTATTGGATATTTTTTGCAAAACAATTTTGAAATGTAAGGAAAAGGAAAAGTAAGGAGTAAAACGTTACAAAAAAAGTAAAGTACAGATACCTTGACAAAATATTGACACATCCATCCATACATCCATTTTATTCCTCTTAATCCATTTCTGGGTCAGGGGGTGGCAGTTAGAGCTGCACCCAGTACACTCAGCACCAGCCCCTCACTGATCCTCCTGCAGGTGGTGAGTCCACAGGAGCCTTGATTTTTCAGAGGGGCTTCAGGCAAAGTGGGGTTAAGTGTTAAGGACACAACGTCATCAGTCATCAGTGGGAGTCGTAAGTAGGTCTTATGGTGTGCTCAAACCCACAACCTTCAGGCCCAAGTGCTTTACCAACTGAGCCACTGTCGCCCAATATTGACACATCTTCATTGACAAATCTAGGTAATCGTCTTTCAGAGCCTGCTGAAATGACACAATCATGACACATTTTGTTACATTTCTATTTACAGGGGACTTTTAATGCTATGATTCAATACAATATTTTTTTTTATTATTTTATACAAAAACTCTACTGCTCCAGCGATTAATTTGACCAAACATACAACATTATCGGTGCATTTATGAAAGATTGATTGTTAAAAAATCTATTGGTTTCTGACTTTTACAATAGTATAAACATATCACGGTGGCGCAGTGGTTAGCTCTTGTGCCTCAAGGCTAGAAGGTCCTGGGTTCAATTCCAGAAAGGATGTTACCCCTTGTCCGTGTACAGTGTTCCTCTGGGTGCTCCGGTTCTCCCTGCCACAGAAAACATGTACAATAGTTTTGAATTAGAGTGTGACCCACGGCCAGTTAGTATTACCAACAAAGTACTGACAAAAAATCAGATCAATATTACGATATAAAAAATTGATTGTATCTAAGAATATCAATTTATCTATAAAAAGGTTGCTCACCCATCATCTGTACTTCATTTAGCAGTTTCATTTTAAATTTTTACTGATGATGGGTGAGCAACCTTCCTTTTTTTTTTGAATAATCCCAGTTCGATCGAGAGTTTACACAAATATTATCTAAAATCAATAACACCTCTAACTTCATCCAGTCTGTGTGCATTTTCTCCTTCATCCAGCACACTCTCCTTTACGGGAAAGTGCTGGAGAGTGAACAGCATGCACACTGCTCGGGGATGACAGGTGTCCATTTGAATGTGCGCGAGAGGAGGAGAGGAGCCAACGAGGGAGTGTTGTGTATTGCTCAGAGGCGAAAAAGAAGGGAAGAAAGACGCACGTAAGAGGCCAAGTAAATAGCAGGCCAAAGTGCATTATGTAAGTGTTTGAGGTCTAACCGTGTGTGTGTGTGTGTGTGTGTGTGTGTGTGTGTGTGTGTGTGTTTTGCGTTCGCCATACAGATTAATCCTGGCTTTATCCTCAGTGAATGGGACAGTGGAGCTTTGCAGTGATTATCCTGCAGGCCTCACATGATTGCTTAGAATTTCATACACATGCATCTAAAATGTATCTTATTGTTTTGTCCCAGTAATTAAATGTCACAGAAGTTTGTCATTCTTTCATGATTCGTTCATTATACCTTGTTCTTAGGCATTTGATTTGCTCAACTCACTTGCATCCTGCGCCTTTGCAACCCCCACCTCTTCTGAATTATATAACGCAGTAATGTTAGAATAGTAATCTGCTCTATCATCTCTTCTCAGATGGGATGTGAAAACAAAAATGGACGACTACCAGGAACTAATTGTTTTCGCTTGAATTGCACTGAAAATGTGTCAAAATCCAAGTGGAGAGTCCTGATTGGTGCGTGCCAGGTGGCCAAAGGTGTGAATGTGTTTTTTCCTGATAGTTATCTGTTACCACAAGGCTGTTTCTCCAGATAATTTTATTATTAGGTCAAGTGAAACCTATAATACTTAAATATTTGCTTCTATCGTTATTGTATTATTTATTTTGCTTTTGTGTATTGCATTTTTCTTGTTTTTTTCCGCAACAGATATCTCTCCACATGGTTGTCCTGTCTCTCTGTAGGGAATGTTTTAATTCTGTGTGGCCATATTGTCGCAGCGGGCAGTATGGTGAGCCAAAAGCAGTACGGTGTGAACAGTAGAGTTTCATTCACACCTATTTAACCAGAGAAGGCCTGAATAAAGACCTATTGAGACCAAAATGTACACAAGGATTACAAAGTGTTTTACTTATCATGAAAATCACATCTTACAACTTCAAACTTGGGCTGTCAGTCTTTAGTCGTTGGGTTGATTGATAGGCCAATAGTGTCTTATTTTAGTGAAATTATAAAGAAAAAATCAGGAATGGAGCAAATGTGCTGAGGATTTTTACTTTTTGATAATCATAATTGAATAGTTTCATTCATCTTTTTATTTGTAGCTTAACATTTAGGTGACCTCACAAGTTGTTTTTGCATGGAAGTCTTGCGAGTTGGTTCATATGACTAACATGTCAGAGATGAGCGAGGCCATGGAGAGACTTATACACAAGCAGAGCTGCTTTAAAGTCTGTTCTCTAAGCCACAGGAAGCCAGTGCACCAGATCTGAGAACTGGACTAATGTGATCTAATGTACTTCCTGGTTCTCGCCAGGACTTGAGCTGGAGTGCTTTAAATATACTGCAGCTGTTTTACAACTCGTTTGCAGAGCCCAGTGAGCAGGTTGAACAGTATAGTCTAACCTGCTGGAGACAAATTCATCATTCTTAAGATAAATAATAATACAACATTGTAGTGGAGTTTTAAGGTATACCATAATAATTATGTGAAATATTTGTTTCTATTCTGAAAGGATTGGTAACTAAAATATACCAATGTAAAGAATCTAAACTTCATAAATATTTGAACCTTGAATAGGGATATGTATGATGAAATTGAATTACTTATATATTCAAACAGAAAACTTTTCTTCGGCGGTAAAAACATGACATAAACAGAATATGAATTACAGTAGACATATTGGTGCTAGAAACTCCCTGCTTGGTTGTCCTGGTTACGAGTCATTGTTGTCTAGTATCAGGCCTAGGTGAGAACAGTAGGTCTGTGATAGAAAGGACAGTTCCAGAGATAACTCCTCCTCTTAGGGCCGGGATCAAACTTGACCCAGCTTAAATTTCGTTTCTCAGACAATTTCTTTTTGAGATTTGAGAATTCCTTCAGTATGTGACCAGATGAATAAATGTGAAACTGAAT